GCGAGTCCCCGGAGCCCGCCGCGGGAGGAGCGGGCCGGGCGCCACCTACCGGGGAACTTGGAGAAGTAGGCCTTGCGGTACTTGGTCCCGTTCTCGTCGTTCCAGAAGTGCGTGGGCTGGCAGGGCACCGGCCGCGTGCACACCAGCTCTCCGCTCTCGCCCCACACCGCCCGGCCTGCGGGAGGCAGGGTCAGCCCGAGGGTCCCTCCCGCCCCGCGCAGGGCCCGGGCACTGCGGCGGCCTCCCCGCCCCCAGGCGCCCTGGAACACGGCCCAGCACTGCACGGGCTCTCGCCCCCACGGGGGTCCCGCACACACACTCGGCACCGTGCCCTGGGGACCCGCTTGGCGGGCACCCGCGGACCCGCAGGGCGCGCCCGGCACCTTGTTCCCCTCCTCGGCCTGGCGTCTGAGCCGCTGCCGCGCCGCGACCGTGCGGCTCTGCCCTTGGGCGCCCTGCACGGGTGACCGGAGCTCACTCCGCGCACAGTGCTGCCCGTGCACATCCCGGGGCGCACACCGCGCACGATGCCATCCCCCGCCTCACTGCGCGCGCGAGCCCATCGCCCTGGCCCAGCGTGCAGAGCGCAGCACTGGCCGAGCACGGACAGCGCCGAGCGCGGTGCGCCCGGGGTCCCGGACACCAAGCCCGTCCGCCCACAGCTCGGCCCGCTCACGCTGTCCGCACCAGCAGCGCCCCTCTGCCGGGAGCTCGCGCCTGAGCGGGCAGGGGATGACCCCGGGGCAGGCAGACGCCCCTGGGCGCACGGGCAGGGGCGGGGCGCCGCAGTGCGGGGCTCAGCCGGGGCAGCCGCCGTGTCTTTCCCCGAGTGCCTCACACAGCTCAGGCAGGGGAGGTGGCAGCCGTGGTCACGAACCTGATCCGCGCACACAGCACACGCCAGGCCCTGTCTGGTGCTGGGGCACAGGCTTTGCTCTTTACAGCAAGCAAGGCTCGCTGCAGACCAGCAGCGGCCACACCCTGCCCCCCAGCCCTCACTAGGGAGGGGGAGAGGGGACCCCTCGGAGGGCCGCGTCTCTCCCAGCCCCACCCACAGCCGCTCCACAGGGGCGCAGCTGGGAGCCCTGGGGGGGCACAGCCCAGCTGCGGGAGGGGAGCCTGCCCTTCCACTGCTCAGGCAGAGGCCAAGTGTCCCCCGCCACCCCAGGAAGTCACAGGAGCACTCACCTTCCTCGTTCCACGCCTCCACAGCCATGGCCAGGTTCCGGGCCTGGATCTCGCCCTTGTACACGGGCACTGATGTGTTCTGGCCCATGAAGCAGGAGATGATGTCGGTGCCCCCTGCAGGGAACACGAGGAGAGAGGGCACGCTCAGGACGCAGGAGTGCCCTCTTCCCTGCATCAGCGACAGCGCTGCCGAGGGGACAGCGTGACAGCTCTGCAGCACAGGGCTTCTGGAGCCCAGAAGATTTAGAAGCTGGACCAAGTCCCGGGGGGGGCGGGCAGCTTTTTTTTTTTCCGGTGCTGGGCATGGTGGCGCACACCTGTAATCCTACCACTTAGGAGGCTGAGACAGGAGAATGGCCACAAGTGCAAGACCTAAAGTACAGAGCGAGACCCTGTCCCAAAACAAACAAAACCCAAGCCCTTCTTACACGGACCTACATCCCCAACCTCTTTTTAAAAATGTTTATTTTGAGACAGGGTCTAAGTTGCCCAAGCTGGGCTCCATCTTGTGATCCTCCTGCCTCAGCCTCCCAGGGTGCTGGGATGGCAGGTGTGTACCACCATGTGTGGCTGCACTACTGCTTACACATGTCTGGATGCCTGAAAAAAATGTATTTGTTACTAGAACGATTTTTTCCTTAGTTGTGCTCTGCATGTACAAACTGGGGAGTGATAGTACGAGTTTAAGATCCGTGCATAAAGACACCATGTCCAAAAGCCAGCGGGGTTTGTTCTGGCCTCAACGGCAAGATGATTCTCTTTCCACCCCAGGCGAGAATCTAACTGTGCCGTCGGCTCTCTGGGTCCTCACGTCCCTGGCCGGCGTCTCCCCCAGAGAAGCCCAGGCCAGGATCACAGCCGCCACCGAGGTCTCCACCTCCCGGAGATGCACACCCCGCCCAGGCTTCAGGGACTCCGGCGAGAGGTTCTGCTCACGCACCCTGGGGCCGGGCGGGGCAGACACCCAGGCTGGGAACAGTAGCGCACGCCTGAAATCCCAGCTACACGGGAGGCCAAGGCAGGAAGATAGACCGAGGCCAGCACCGCAATGTAGCCTTCTCACTGCCCAAACGTAGGCATCAGTTAGCGCGTAACCGCCTTCTACCACAGGTAATGTCTTCTTCTGCGGGTACCAGCAGTGACGCAGGGCTCACCCTTACCTGTCAGCCTGTGCCTGTGAGTCCTCCCGCCTGCCAGGACCTACCTGTTCATCTTAAAGCGACTGCTCCGGGACACGCATCTGCACAGAACAGCGCTGGGCAGCTGGGTGTGAAACCCGGCTGGAGCCTGCTAGACGGGGCCTGGGCAAGGCACTCCACACCCAACCGCGTATGCTGCATTTTCTGCTTTGGAAACCAGGCAGAGCTGGCGCAGGTGTAGGCCTGCAGGCAAGCTGAGCTGCATGTGCATTTCCCGAGGAGCGCCTCCAGGGGGCAGCACTTGCTCAGCAGGGTCCTGTCCCCTCACTGCCCGGCAGGCCAAGGATGAGACTGGGTTTGGCACGGGATTCACAGGCTGAGCCCAAGGGCGAGCAGGTGGGCACAGGGGCGTCAAAGCAGCAGGGGCAGCGGTGGGCGGGGCGGGCCTACCTGAGATGGAGCCCAGCAGCACGTTGCTCTTGACACACCTGTACACGTACTCGTAGCTCTGGGCTTTCAGCGGGGAGCCGGTGGACAGGATGGTGTGCAGCGTCTGCAGGCTGTGTGTCTCCGCTGCCGGGACGAGCCCGGAGTCAGGGCGGCGCACACAGGGACCAGGCGCCCACTGGGCTCGGCTCCAGGGCCGGCCGCGCGGGGAAGGGACCGTGCGCGACTCACCTGGCTTCAGGCCCTTCTCTTCGAGCACGGACAGCCACTTGGCACCGGTCCCCAGCACGGTGATGCTAAGGTGGGACAGGAAGGAAACAGCGACCCTCAGCCCCTGCCACACCCCCCACGGCGCCACGGGGCCAGGACACAGCCTCTGGGGCCTCAGAGCGCGGCCTGCATGGGGTTCCCTCCGGGTCGCGTGGGGCAGGTCCGCACCCCAGTCCCCTCACGCCAGGGACCCACCCCCGGCTCCAGCTCGCACTTCCCAAGCACGGAGCGGGGCGCCCGGGCCTACCCGATCCTGTCCACCAGGTCCCACAGCACGTTGGGCGTGGGCACCAGCGGGGAGCCGTCGTACAGGACCAGGGACGCGCCGGTGGCCAGCGCGGACACCATCCAGTTCCACATCATCCAGCCGGCCTGCATGGGGCAAGGAGCCGCCTGTGTGGGGGTCCTGGCCGGGCCCCCAGAAAAGCGGCCCGCACTGGCCAAGGCACCCGAGCTGCCGCTGCACAGAGAGCCACAGCCTGGCAACTCCCCGCTGCCGACGACACAGAGACACCGACACGGCGAGGAGGCCTGCTGGGGACCAGAGGCCCAAGGGACCAAGGCCCGGGCGGCGGGGGAGCAGCCACACGGCCGCCGGGCACACACCCTCAGCGCCCCCGGCGCTCTGCCAGGTTCCAACACTGGCCCGTCACAGGGGCGATGCTGAGGTGGGAAGGCTTCTGGGCCTCCAAGGTCCAGTGGAGGTGCTGGAGTTGGGCCACCAACCCCGAGCCCCCCCCCAGGCTGCTGCTGCTGCCCGAGGCGGCGTCAGGGTGGCTCCCTGGGGAGACCCCGCCCGGCCCGTGGGCAACACCCCGGGAAGGTGAACCCCTCGAGCACCACTGCCCAGGAGCTCCTCCACACAGCCCTGTCCTTCCAGAGCCAGTCGCTCCAGCAGGGCCTCAAGGAACCGCTGAGGGCTCTGCGAGTCTGCGGCACCCGGAGCACCCTCCTCACGGCGCTGGGCTCCCCGGCTGCCCCGCGAGGCCGAGACAGGACAGGGCGGTGAGAGCTGGCACTCGAGACGCAGCTCCTGCAGCCCAGCGCTGGGCACCAACCCACGGGGCGAAGGAAACAGCCGTGTGACCTGGGCCCACAGTCCCCCAGGGGGCAGCCCAGGTCTCTGCCCCCGCCGCCGGGCCTGCGTGGTCAGGGGTCACGAGGACCCAGTGGGAACCCCTGCCTCCAGCACTGTTTCTTTAAAACCTAGGCACAGAATTGCGACCAGGAGACGAAGCTGGACCATCCCGGAGCCTCCAGGTATCTGCATGCTTAGAAAGAGCTATCAGGGGCAGGGCGTGGAGGCACACACCTGTGACCCCAGCACTAGGAGGCTGAGGCAGGAGGATCACCAGTCAGAGGCGAGCCTGGGCGGCAGGGCAGTGAGACACACTCCTGTGTCACCCCTGCCCCAGGCACTGCCTTATCCCTGCCCCCAGAGCTCAGATGTGTAAACGACGCCCACCCCAGGCTTGACTGCACACGGGAGCCGACCCACCACCATGCTGGCCAGGCCCCGCGGCAGGGAGCACGCAGCCTTACCGTGGTGTAGTAGAGCAGGACGTCGCCGCAGGTCATGTTCCCGTGCAGCATGTGCTCCTTCAGGTGCTGGAGGAGGGTGCCCTGCGGGGGCAGCGGCGGTGAGCGGCTGCTGGGAAGGCCGCCTCCCTCTCCCTGCCCTGACACCCGAGGGCGCTCATGACACAGAAGGGGTCCCCCAAGCCCCGCCCACCCAGGGGGACCCACACCTCGCAGGGGGGCGCCTGCACCCGCGAGAGCAACGGTGGAGCCCACGCACTCACACCTGTGCAGCGGGCGCGCCCAGCTCTCGGGCGCCCCCAGTGGAGGACAGGGAGAGGAACAAGGACAGGGGCTGGGGTTTAGCCAAGCGGTACAGCGCCTGCCTGGCAAGCGAGAGGTCATAAGTTCGATTCCCGGTACCGGAAAAAAAAAAAAAAAGAGAGGAACAAGGACGACAGAGCTCGGGGACCCGGCTTCCTATCAGACGCCTTCTCACCCGCCCTCCACACACTTCCTACTGCTGTCTGTTTTGAGACAGGGTTTTGCTCTGCAATCCAGAATGCCCTTGAACTATGTAGCCCAGGCTGGCCTCGAATTTGAAACACCCCTCCTGCCTCAGCCTCCCGAGTGCTGCAATTACAGGTGTGTGCCCCACCACACCCAGGATGTTCGTGCCACTTTCTGAAGCGGTTCTGGAAGTCCCCTTTCCGGAGTGTCTTTAGGAGTGCGGTCAGAAATACAGTGACTGCCACTGCTGCTGAGCAACAGGAAGTCCGCACATAAAAGCACAACAGGGTCCTCTCAGAAACCTTAAACGTCAGAACGACCGTGAGAGAGAAACGTTTTGAACAGACTCAGCCATCCAGGCAGCAAGTACAGCGCAGCCATGGAGGTTGAGGAAGGAGACGCAGCTGCTTCGGGCTGGGCCTCCTCTCCTCACTTTGCACCAGGGAGGCTGAGGCAGGAGGATCACCATGAGTTTGAGGCCAGTCAGCGTGACATAGTGACTTCAAGGCCAGCCTACTATATAGCATGACCCTATCTCAGAAAACGCAAAACAAAACAGAAAGAGAACGCTAACAATGGGCAGGTCTGTGAAGGGGCTGCGGGCTCGTCACCCGCTCTTCCAGGTCCTACAGGGTCTACAGGTACTACAGGTACTACACGTCTCCACTTTCAAAAGAGAAAGAGTAGGGGTCACTAATCTACGTATATAAAATCCACTGACGAGAAGTAACGCGTTACTCTAGGAACTGTGATGAAGTTGGACTTCTGACGAAATGAACGGAGACGTTGGAGCCCCAGCCCCCAGGACCTCAGAACGTGGCTCTAACTGGACACAATGCCTTCGTAAAGGTGGTTAAGTTGAATGAGGCCTCAGGCTAGGCCTGGATGGGAAGGTGTTTGGTTTGTTGTTGTTTGGAGACAGGGTCTGGCTGTGTAGTTCAGGCTGGCCTCGAACTCACTATGTAGCCCAGGCTGGCCTCGATTTCATGGTAATTCTCCTGCCTCAGCCTCCTGAGTGCTGGGATCACAGGCCTGAGCCACCACACCCAGCTACGTGAGGCGACCTTAGAAGAAATGTGGGCACACACAGCAACACCAGGGGTGCCAAGGTCTGCTGTGTCCCCTCCAAGATCCACTCAGAACCCCATCCCCACAGTCACACGTCACGGGTGTTCGGGGCGGGGCCTTGGCTCAGGGCCAGCCAGGGTCACACAGGGCACCGTGACCATGACAGCATCCGGGGCTTTGTGAGAGATCCCCCTGCCCACCAGGGACTCTGCAGGGGTCCCCAGCAGCAAGACGCCCCCCACGGCCCCTCATCCTGGACCTGCGCCCTCCAGAACCACAAACGGAGGGAGCCTTTACCTCTGAACTGCGCCGTGCACGGCACCCAGTGACAGGCTGAGACGGGGCCCCGTGAGAGGCCACACGCGGACCAGGGAGGAGGGGGACAAGCCCTGCAACGCTCGGATCTCGGGCTCCAGCCTCCAGGACTGAGAAGCCCCCGCCCGTGAGCCCCCGCCTACCCCAGCTCTGAACTCAAGGTGGTGGCTTCGCACGCTCGGCCCCACACACCGCTGTGGACGCGCGAGACGGGGCACTCCTCCCAACGATACGCACACCGCTCCCTGCCGCTGAGAGCCCCGCTCCCATCTCTCCCATGGGCCGAGCTTTCGCCAAGGCTGCCAGCCCCCGCCCCGTGCCTGTGCCCTGGGCGCCCAGGCTGCAGTGTGGAAGCCCCGCCTCGCCCAGCCCCTGCTGCCCCACAGCGAGCGCCCACGGTGACCGCCAGGCTGGTGCCCCCGTGCTGCAGGCGCTGAGGTAGGCAGTCAGGCAGGGCCAGGCCCCCGGAGGAGCCAGTGCAGAAGACAGGTACCCCGCCACGTGGAGCTGCGGGCCAGGCCTCAAGACAGAAGATGGACAGATGCGCCCACAGCACCTCCCTACGGGTAAACCCCAGGGATTGACATTCCAAGTAGGCACCAACCACCTCAAGAAGGCCAGGCAGAGCCCCGACCCCTCCAGGAAAAGCCCCTGTCCTGTGATCATGCCAGCTTGCCACGGGGCTCTCACCCCCATTTGATCCCGATTTAATCAATTTTACCTGAGCAATTTTACCTGAGCAATTATGCTCGTAATCTTTTTTTTTTGGTACCGGGAATCAAACTCCTGACCTCAGGCTTGCCAGGCAAGCGCTTATGCCACTGAGCCATATCCCCAGCCCTATGCGCGTAATCTTACCGGCTGACCGTAGCTGCGTCCCGCCTCACACCCAGCTTGGACTGCCTTGCATGAGGATTTGCTCTACAGAAGTCCCTAGGAAGGCCAGGGTCCTTGGCAACCCACTTGGGTCCCCTTCTGTCTCTCTGGACAGAAGCTTTCTTTCCCCCAATAAATATATTCTGCTCTTAACCTCCATTGTTCCTAAAATTCAGGCTTCGATTTTAGAGATCACAAACTCATCCCAGATGCCCAGCAGGCCGGGAGCCCCCCACCCGTGTCAAGGGGACCTACCCCCGCGGAGTGCACCATGCACTTGGGCGCCCCCGTGGTGCCCGAGGAGAACATGATGAAGAGCGGGTGGCTGAAAGGCAGCTGCTCGAACTCCAGCTGCGGGGCGTGCTCGCCAGGGCCGCCGGCCAGGAAGTCGTCCAGGAACACGCTGCGGGCAGAGACGCGGGGACACTCGGTGAGACGAGGGTGCAGCCCAGCCCACCCCGGCTACGCCTGGCCACTGCTTCCACTCTGCCAGGGGAACAGCCAGCTTCCAGGGCCCTGGACCTGGCTTGGGAGCATCAGGGCCGTGATGGCGAACCTTTCACAGCTTCCAGTGAGACAATCAACCCACTGTGGCACGCATGCCGTAGGTTCGCCACCGCTGCTTTAAGGGAAGGGATAATCAAATCTAAATTTTACTAAATGAAGGGAAAGCAAGAGGAAGAGAAGGATTCAAGTTGGTTTATTCATTTGTTTTTGAGACAGACAAGCCCTCACTTTGTAGTTCAGGCTGGTCCTGTATTCACTACGTAGCCCAGCTGGCCTCCAAGTCCTGGAGATTCTCCTGCCTCAGCCTCCCTAAGTGCTGGGACTACAGGGCTGCCCCGCCCCGCCTGGCTTCAAGTTGGTTTCTTAGCACGGAAGACAGGGCTGTCTGCTGTCTCTCTAGAGACCCTTTGCTGCTGTCGTAAACACCAGGGAGCTCCCAGGTAACACAGGCGCTGTTTGTGTGCAAACTCAGAAAACAGCTACAACTCATTTCCTCTGCTGCAATCACCTGATTACAGCACTCAGCCCCCGACCGCCTGAGGGGAGAGGAGCCGGGGAGGCGGGGTCAGAAGGGCATGGGGCCGCATTAAGAGCCTGTCCTGCACCGCGCACAGGTGGCCAAGGGCAGTCTGCGGCAGGCTCCTTTACCATACCCTGAGAGCGACAATGAGATGTACCAGTCCAAACCCCGACAAGCGCACCTGTGATCCCAGCACTCAGGAGGCTGAGGCAGGAGGATCGGTGCCAGTTCGAGACCACCCTGGGCTACAAAGCAAGCTCAAGGCCAACCTGAACTGCATAGCGAGACCTTGTCTCAAAAAGACAACAAACAAAACAAACCCCAGCAGGTGGCACATCCCATAATCACAGCCCTGGGGAGGCTGTGGCAGGAGGTTATAACAGAGTAAGAGTTCAAGGCCAGCCTGGTCTACATAGAAAGTTCAAGGTTAAGGCTGGGGCTATAGCTCAGCAGAACAAGTGCCTGCCTGACAAGCACAAGGTCCTGAGTTCAAATTCCCAGTACAAATAAATAAATAAATATCTTTGGTTTTGCCGGGTGTGGTGGCTCAGGCCTGTAATCCCAGCACTTGGGAGGCTGAGGCAGGAGGATTGTGCAAGTTCGAGGCCAGCCCGGATTACAAAGTGAGCTCAAAGCCTGAACTGCAGAATGAGACCCTGTCTCAAAAAGACAAAAAAAAAAGGGGCTGGGGATTTAGCTCAGTGGCAAAAGCGCCTGCCTGGCAAGCGCAAGGTCGTGAGTTCGGTTCCTGGTACCGGAGGAAAACCCCCCCAAAAAAAAAAAAAAAAAAAAAAAAAAAAAAGCAAGTTCAAGGCCAGCCTGACCTGCACAGTAAGATGCCTCTCAAAACAAAACTACCCCTCCCGAACACCTGTCCAGACATGAGTAAGGTCCATCTGCACTACTGACTGAACTAAGTCCACCGGTAACAGAAAGCACCAGGAGGGGGTGGCCCAGAGCCACCAAAGGAGATGCCCGGGCTGAGGCCACAAAGCCACCTTGGAAGGGGGTCCTTCCATTTGGGATGGCAGAAATATCCACATGCCCCGGACAAATGAGAGACTGCCACCCTGGGGCCTGGGCCTGTAGGAAGCCTTTCAGCTCTCGCTGGGAACAGACGCTGCTGCTCCGCATCTCAGGAGCGCGCGCACCCGGGGACCTGCGGGCCAAGCCCGGCCCCGTCTCCTGGGAACCCCGATTCTGGAAAGTGCCGATCTCATCAGATGCTGCACACAGGGAAACCTTTTCTACCCGACAGTCCACGCGTCAGTCAATAACCAGAGCTTCTGCTGCCCTTCTAAAAACCAAGTGCCCTGGGGCCAGGGGATGTTTTCCCTCTGCTCTCTGGGATGGGCAGCCCAGGGCCGGCGGATCCTTGGCATCCGGAGATCAGAGGGCAACAGGGACGGGTGGCTGGGGCTGAGGCTTCCTGGGGAGCTAAGGGCATCGGCTGCCTGGCTGCCGTTTGCTGGCAAGCAGGATAAGCGCATTTCAACATGAAGCCAGTGCAGAGGCGCTGGCAAGGCCTGGCTCGCTCCACCCTCCACACCCCCGCCCGAGTAGCGGTCTCCGCCAGTGACGGGGAGTCAGATCTGAGGTCTGTGAGGTAAGACTGGGGCACAGCCCGGCTGTGATCGGTGGAGGTTGGCAGGGGCCCCTCCATGCACAGGCCCAGGACCAGGCACCCAGCGGCTCCACACTCCCAGGACGGAGCCTGCCGCAGCACGTGAGGGCCAGCCGCGCTGCACTGGCGGCCTCTCCTTAGCCCTCAGCAGCCTCTGTGGAGAGGACGTCCCCACTGTGTGCACTGAGAAGCCAGACGCCTGCCCAGGGTGCCGGCTGTGATCCAAGCCCACGCGTGACCTTCTAACAGGCAGCACTGGAGCTCCACACTTGCAGGGCCCGGGCAGCAGCTGCACGGACCGGGCTGCCAGGCAGGCCTCGCGCTGCCCACCGGAGGGACGAGGCCTCTGCACTCTCCCGTCCTCCTGGGCGGCACGGCCTGAGCTGCAGACCCACGGACAGACACCCGGGGAGGGCAGGGCTGCTGTCCTCAGCCTGACCCAGGGCTGGGCCCAGAGCAGGAAGGAGACGCGCTCCAAGCCCTGGGAAGGCGGCGCCTGGGACTAAGCCTCACCCACTCCCTGCCTCTGCTCCCGTCCAGAGGCTCACACCGCCGCTGGGGACTGGGGCGAGGGCGCTGCAGGTTTACAGATGGCAGAAAGCAAACGAAGGGATCGTTAGCAACAGGCAGCAGACACAGGTTCTAACAGGGAGAATGCGCACACAGGCCTCCCTCAGGGTCCTGGGCGAGTTCCAAGACCCCGCAGGCACCAAAACGCAGTCAGCCGGCCCCTTATACGAAACGGCACAGTGAGTAGTGCCAGCATGGGAGTGCACTCCTGTCATCCCAGCACTCGGGAGGCTGAGGCAGGAAGGTCACCGCTAGTCTAAGGCCAGGCTGGACCCCACCATGTGACCCTGTCTCAAAAAACAAAAAATCTGGTTTGAGCTAAGTCCTCCCCGCCTCTAAAATGCTAGGATCAGCTCGCTGCTTCTGCTGTCAGAGCTGTCTCTCCTCTGCAGTGCCTCTCTGCTGCACCACGCTATGATCAAGTCCTCGTGGAGAGACCCCGAAGGTCCACTTCCCAGAGGGGTGGAGCACAAGGCCCCCAGCTCGGCCGGAACGCACGCCGTCACCTGTTGGGGATCTTGGCAATGTCTATCTTCTCCCTGGAGGTGACGTACGGGATCACCACCACCTTCCGCAGGTCTGGGAGTCCTGGGAAGCGAGGAGAAAACACAAGGTCACGGACCGAGACGCCGGTGCTGGTTCTTTTCACAAATGTAACACGGCCTGCACCTCTGCTGCAGCTCTCACCTCTGCGCATGCACACACACGTGCACACACGCACGCACGCACACGCACCTTTCACCACCTGCTGCAGCTTCTCCATGTGGCTGTGCTCCTTGCCGTTGTAGATGACGGCCTCCACGGAGAAGATGAGCTTCGGCTGAATCTGCGAGAAGCGGTCCAGGACGCCCTGGGCGGGAGGGAACAGCAGCGCGGGTCACGCGGAAGCCAGCCCGGGCCACACTACCCGCCTCAGCCCCGTCACCCGGCCCGAGCACCCGTGGCACAGGACACGCGACACAGGAAGCTGATGGAGCCGCAACTCGCGTCTCGGAAAGGAGCCCTGCACCACGTCAGTTCTGCCTGCACGGCCAGGAAGAGCCGCGCTGGGCAGACAGCCCCGAACTCCCGCACGGAGACCGAGAGGCGCCTCCCCACGCAGCTCCAGGGCTCCGCGCGGCCCTCCGCACGGCCCGTGCCGCTCCCTGGTCTGCGGCTGGAGAGGAACGCGACTCCTCCGCACTGACTGTGCCACCACACGCACACGCGCACGCACACGCGCACCACGTGCACACACCCGCAGCCGCTCGCCGCCCCAGCCCCGCTTGCCCTGCACGCGGTCTGCGCCCTCCTCACGGCGACTTCCCTCCAGGGGCTGGGACTGCGCCTGCGAGTGGGACCCGCGCGACTGGGGCCGCGTGACGCCCCGCGCTCTGCCTGCCAGTCCCAGGGCCACAGGGCAAAGCACACTGGGCAGCTCCACCTCCCGTCCCCACCCAGCCACTCGCGGGTCACGCTGCTGTCCCCGCCCCAACAAGGGCCCTCAGAGGGGCTCAAGATAAGGCCGCCAGGGGCTGCTCCAGGCTCAGGGTGGCTCCAGACGAGCCGCGCAGAGGGCCGCACCTGGCTGCAGGTCAGCGCCTCCTGCCACCTGCCACCCGCAGCTGGTCAGACTGACCGGCCCATGGGCCGGCAGGGGCCAGGCTTGTTGCAGAGCTGCCCAGGTGACACGAGCAGGGAAGGAGCTGGCAGCTCGGCAGGCATAAGGAGAGGCGGTGCACGGTGGGGTCTGTCCCTGCCCGCACCCTGGCATCAGCTCGTGTCAGTTTATATTTAGAGGTCCCCCGAAGCCCTACAGGCTCACAAGAGGGGTCGGAAGGAGAGGAAGGGGGGGAGGGGAGGGGGGAAGAGGAGGAGGAGAAGGAGTGAGGACTCCTCTGCTGGAAGCCTCAGCAGATGCCAGTTTGCAGCTGGGACTCAGTGGCCACCTTACATGGCCCTGGGGCTCCGACCCAGGGGAGGACAGGGAGCTGAGGCCAAGGGAAGCAGGTGCTGAGCCGCCTGGGCTACAGATCAGCAGCAACAGGGCCACACAGAGCCAGGATGAGCAGGAGGCCATTCCAGGCGGAGACGCCAGCATGAGCCAGCGCAGGGACAGGAGGGGGGCCAGACAGGACACCGGAGGCAGCGGGAGTTTCTCCACCGAGCCCAGCAGTCGGGCTCCAACATCGCTGGCACCTGTGACAGCGCGCAGACAGCCGAGAGGGCAAGCGCCCCGCGGTCGGCCCGCCCAGGTCAAGGCCGGGGCTTCGCTGTCTGGACAGGCGAGGTCTGCAGCGTCTCCTGGGCCGGGACGGCTGAGCACAGCTTTCGGGTTGCAATACACAAACGCCCCGTGACCAGGTCTGCCCCGAGTCGACTGGGTGCCGGGCACCCGGGCAAGGCAGCCCCAGCCAGGGCTGATCCTGCAACCACTGCCCCATTCCGCGGCACAAACACAGGGCCACAGAGGGCTGCCCAAGGGTGAGGGCGAGGCCTGGAGTGGCCAGAAGGCGGCTTCCCCAACACCTTTGGAAAGGCGCCCACCTTGCCATCCACCTCGCTGTACGCAGCGCTGAAGAAAAGCCCAGAGGCCAGAAACTGCAGCGCCGCGGTCTGCAGGCAGCCGGGAGGCTGGGCGCCCCGAGCAGAGCTCACGGCAGATGCACCAATTACATACTAGAGACTAAGGACACCACCACAGAGACGGCGCAGGGGACACGGGACACAGGGCCCGGGGGAGGCACACGGCCAGCGCATGGCAGAGAAGCATCCACCATCTTCGCAGGGACACTGGCCCCCAGCCCTCCTGGCCATGGCCATCTATGGGCCGGAGAAGCCCCTCAGCCCCCTGGCCTGGAGGCCCCGCCCACTGTGGAAGGCCCCAGGGGAAGCCCCGACCCCAGCACTCCCTTCAGAGACCCCAAGACAAAGCAGGGTTTGCAGGCGCAGGGCAGCTGTCCCTTTACAACAGGGTCATCAGTGACATGAAGAGAGCAGCAGAGACACCCAGGTCCACCGCAGACGGCAGGGAAGCCCACGCCCTGCACTGCGGACGCAGCCGCTCACACTCCGACTCACAACGGGAGCAGACAAGGGCAAGCAGTCCCTCACCCCACCTCCCGAAGGTCCTGGCCGGCTCTGGCCCCTGAGCGAGGACGGGGTGGACAGGGTGTGATCGGCCGGCAGTGGACACCTGGGAGCCTGACCCGTCCCAAGCTCCGTGCACAGCTTGGGCAGCCCGAGGGGACGGGGCTGAGGGGCCCAGGGAGACGCTCTTCCAGAAACTGAGGGCGCAGAGCCCGGGGCCTGCCGTCACCTGGGGCCCACGCCGTGGTGGGCTGGCGCTCCCGTGCCAGGCCACTCTGAGCAGCTGTGACTCCGGGACCCGGGACCAGGCAGCGCCAGGCAGGAACTGTCCCCAAGAGGGCGTTGGCCCCGGGGTGCTCTGGACCCGTCCTGAGACGGGCAGAACCTGCCCGACTGGAGTACAGAGGCTCGGGCGGTGCCGCTGCACCGGCGGCTGTGGGCACTGGGAACTGGGAAGGAGCGGGGGCCAGCAGCTGCTGACAGACACACACCTTCCTCGGCCCCACCCTCCCCCCCCCCAGGCAGACTCCAGGGCTCTCTCTCCGCCGGGCTCCCGTCGGGTCAGTGCTGCAGGGCTGTCACTGGTCCCCGACACAGGCGGCTTCCGGTTCTCGAAGGGTAAAGAGCTCCAAAGGACTCAAACGCGTCCAGCCCCCAGCTGCTCAGCTTTGCACCCCGTAACTCAGGAAAGTGCCCCGTGCCCGCCCTGCTGGGCCCTCCCAGGGGACAGCGCTGGCCCCAAGCAGCCACCTGCAGGGTGCAGAGCCAACCCAGCCCAGTGACCGCAGGCCCCTGTGGGGTGGGCCCTGAGCAGCCCTTACTCCGCCAGGCATTGGCCAGTTCCTCCTTTGCACTGCATCAGGAGAGTGAAGCCATCTTAAAGCCTTTACCAAGCAGACTTATAATCCTGCACCCGGGGAGGCTGAGGCAGGAAGATCCCACGTTCAAGCGCAGCATGGGCAATTTAGCAACCCAATAAGATCTTGTCTCAAAATAAAAATAAGGGGCTGGGGATATAACTCAGCGGCACAAGTGCCTGCCTGGAAAGCACAAGGTCCTGAGTTCAATTCCTAGTACCAAAAAACAAACAAAATAAAAAATAAGAAGGACTGAAAACATCTCCCTGCAAAGTACTAGTTCAATCCCCACTACTGCAAAAAAGGAAAAGGAAAAGGCAAAAATGCTTTACCCAAAAGCCAGCCCCCAAGCAGACAAGCTTCGGCACTCGCCCCCAGAGCCACCACCGGGACCCCAGGCCCAGCGTCCCCGCGCTGAGCTTCAGCGGCACCTGAGCATCCGGGGGTCCCCAGGCACTGTCACGGCTCTGAGTGCTCAGCGCACAAACCCCGCCCCCCGTCCCTGACCGCTGTCCCCAGGTCACAGACGAGGAGGCACAGGGGTGGGCACCCACGGACACAGACCAGCAGGGCCACGCGGACCGGCGCACAGCGCAGGGCCGGGATCAGGAGCCGCCCAGCAGAGGCAGGCAAGGGCCCTGTGGGTCCCCGGTGCCCCTCCCTGACTGGGGAGCAGGGGCGGGGCGAGGCGCATGCTGCTGCTGCCTCGCTCATCCCACGGGGGGCGCTGCGAGCCGGGCGGCCATAGCAAGGGCAGCCGGAGGCAGCCGGAGCTCACACCCAGCAGCAGGGAGCACCGCGCCATGGCAGTCTGGCGGACGGGATCCCTGCGAGGAGGCCCTGCGGCGCCCGAGGTCACAGGTGAGAAGACACGCCCGCACACAAGCCCTGAGCAGCGCGGCCGGCCGCACTCCACGCTGCCAAGGCTGCGACGCAGCGGGCTCGGCTCGGCCCGGAAGGGAGCGAGGGCCGGGCTCTCCCCACACCTCCACGCGGGGCTCCGGAGGGCGCCGCACCCACAGAACGAGGAGGTGCGCTCCTGGCGCCTCCCGCCGGCCTCCAGCCCTGCTCGGGAGGAAGGGGCAGCAGCGACGGTGGTGGTGACCGACACACAGCTCCCCTGGATGCCCTGCCACTGCCCACTGGGCAGCACGGCCCCTCAGCCCTGACTCGGCCTGACTCACGTTCACACCGAAGTCCGGGGACGTGGAGCTCCAGATGGCCCCGATGCTCGCCGTGGCCAGCATGGCCTCCACGGCGTGCGCGCTGTTAGGCAGATAACCTGTGGGGTGCGGGGAGAAAGCCGTGAGTTCGGGTAAACTGAGGCAGCACACCCAGGAGCCAGCACCACCTCCTCCGCCTAACGCGGGCTCCTCAGCCCCGGACACGAGGCGCAGATCTCCGGGGACACTCACCGACCACGCGGTCTCCCTTCCGCACACCCATCTTTCGCATGGCGGCGGCGAACAAAGCCACCTGCTGCCGCAGCTCCCCGAAGGTCACCTTCACAATCTCCTCTTTGCCTTCCCCTGGGGAGAAGGAGAAGAGGAATGGTGCTCTGGCCATCGTAGAGACAGGGGCCGCGTTGGGGGCTCAGAGGGAGAGAGCGTGCCTGTGTCCCGCGGTCATCGGTCGGCGCCCAGGACAACCCTGCACACCGAGGTGGGGAACGAGACGGGACGGGGGTGTCCAGACGCCAGGGGACAGCAGGGCTGCGGGCGTCAGGGGGGGGCCTCGGGGAGACGGCCAGTGCGCGTCTTTCGCTGCAGGCCGGGGTGGTGCCGTTTGAGACCATCACAGATGGACCGGAAGGTGCAGGGCCCCACGCTGTGCCCGGCGGCGACACCCTACATAGCCATAGCGCCACAGGCAGCCAGGAAGCCCACGCGGGCCCACCAGCCTGCGGCGCCTCCTCCCACTGAACGCGTCCCCTTCCATTGAGTCCCCCTCCCTGGTGCCCTGGTCCTGTCACAGCCGCGCCCCAGGCTGCCACGCGACCAGGGACGGCGCTGATTCGCCCGGTTCCCCAAGGTATCAGTTCTGACCCGGTCTAAGGCTGGGTTCGGGGGTGCAGGCCTGTAATCTCAGTTCTGGAACCTAAAGAGTCTTCTTTCCAAAGTGAATGCAGAACCCACTCCCTGTGGCGCGAACCTGGACCCCGCTGCCTGCTCCCTCCTCCATGCTCACACCCCGGTAACTTCCTCTCCTGTCAGCACCAGCAACCTGAATCTGCTCTTGAGAGACCCTACACCACGCAGGCGACCGTTCGCACCCTGCAGCCGCCAAAGCCAGGTGCACAGGCGCGTCTGGAGGAGGCAGCGGACCGGCCCGTGCAGGCGCTGGGATGGCCCGTGCGGCCCCCGGCCCACGCGGGAGTCCTGCACACTCAGCGAGCCGTGCAGAAGACCAGGCACTGGCCAGCTCGGGGCCCTTAAGCAAGACCTCTGATTTGGGGCTGGACAGTTTACATCCAGAGGTCCCCCAGAGCCTCGCATGCTCACAGGCTCAGCGGCGGGGTTTGGGGAGGTGACTGGACCACAGGGGCTCGATGCTCGCGGGTGGACTCGTCCTCAGTGAGTTTAGAGCTGGCCGTGACACCAGCCTGGTCAGAGGAGCTGGGTCCCTAGGGACAGGGCCTGGGAGGGTCTGGCCCCCACCCTCGACCTCGCTGACTCCTGTCTGCCCTGCCGTGGACTGTCCTCCGCACCGCCGTCCAGTCCACCTGTGGAGTGGACACTCTACGCACTGAGCTAAGGGTCCCCCGTCCCCACGCAGGAGCTCAGGGTATTTCATCCCAGCAACACAGACGGTGACTGAGTCTGGGGTGCAGATCCACGTGACCTCCTTGTATGGCACATGCAAGGCCCTGAGTTCTATCCCCACCACTGCACACCTGCACACAAAGCAGCATGGTGTGGGCTGGGGGTGTGGCCCGGTGGCAGAGCGCCCCAGCTTAGCACACGCAGGTCCCAAGATTCCCTGCCCCACCGCCGACAAGGACAAACAAGATCTTCATAAACTAAATGTGATCTCGGGTTGAGCTCACTAACTGAAGGGGCTCCAGCCTGGGCGCGGTGGCACACACCTGTGATCCCAGCACTCAGGAGGCTGAGGCAGGAGGACCATCACAAGATCCAGGCCAGCCTTGGCTGCAAGTGAGTTCAAGGCCAGTCTGGAGTACACAGCAGGACCCTGTCTAAAAAAATAAAAATTCCTTTACACCAACGCTTCCAAGGGCTGCTTTCTAGTACATAAGTTGGAATGTTTTTTAAACTTTATTTTCAAGAGGAGAAGCCACCCAGACATGGCAGTGCACATCTATAATCTCAGCATTCTGGGAGCCTGAGGCAGGAGGATTCCAAATTAAAGCCCAAGGGCAACTTGATGACTTAACGAGACTTTGTCTGAAAATTAAAATTAAAAACGACTGGGTATGCAGCTCCCTGTGACGGCCCTGCACTTGACCCCCAGTGTCAGTGGGGAGCAGCGACTCCAGTCACGGCCCCATCACCGGCCTCCTGGTGTCCCAAGCTGGCCACTCGGTACTAGGCATCCCCTTCTCCTACAAAGGGGACACAACGGCCCCTCGCTCCCCAGTGAAAACAGAGCCAGCGCTGCCTCGGCTGTCCAGAAGCCCAGGGATGGCTGCCCTCGGGGAACGCCCATCCGCACAGACTCACTTGTGACATACAGGGCCACTTTGTCGTTCTCTTTGTGCCGCAGCAGGTTCTCCGCGTAATTCAGCCGGCTGCCTTTGAACCACTCGGGGACGTCCGCAATCCCTTTGGAAGTATCCACCACCTGCGGGCGGAGAACACGAAGGCACCCACATGAACAGAAGCGGCCCCTGCCCCTTGGAGCCTCTCGCTTCCCTCGGCATCGAGAACCAGCTTTACAGACCAACCCCAAGCCACCCACGGGCCAACAGGGACCCCAAGACCAACCCTCCCCGGAAATGTGCTCTTTTTGGTTTTGGTTTTGGTACCCGAAATCGAACTCACAACCTCGGGCTTGCCAGGCAGGTTCTGTGCCGCTGAGCTATATCCCTAGCCCCAGAAGTGTGCTCTTTCACCAGCTACTTAGTATGCCAGGTGCCCCCCACAAACCCAAAAGGCCCGAGCCCCTGCCCTCCTGCCACAATTTTCTGGAAGTCACTACAACCTTTTGCATCTTCCTCAGCATCTTGGGACCTTGGTTTGCTTTTCTCATTTTGCTTTGTTTCTTGGTTTTTGGTGTTTCTGGGACAGGGTCTTGCTATGTAGTCCAAGCTGACCGGAACTCACAGCGCTCCCCCTGCCTCAGCCTCCTAAGCACTGGCATTATAGGTGTGTGCCACCATGCCCAGCTTGGCTTCTATTTTTTTTTTTTTTTGGTGCTGGGAATTGAACTCAGGACTTTGTGCTTGCTAGGCAGGCACTTGTGCCACTGAGCTACATCCCCAGACCTGCGGCTTGGCTTCTAAATGGACGACACAGCAACCTTCCAGAATGGTTTGCCTCAACCATGGGTGAATTATACTTGGAATAACGGGCCTCCCTTTCTGGACCTGCTTATTATGCGCTTGGAGGGCAAGGAGTTAAATTCTCGAAAACCCGAGCTGGAAAAATAACAAAACTACTAACAGTTTAAGTGACCACAATGTGTATGTACTTAGTACCCTCGACCTGCACACTTCAACATATGCACATGTTAAATATATGTACTTCACCACAACTGGAATTTTTTATTTCAAAAAAAGAAAGAGAACCCCAACGCCCGCTGGCTCAGGCTGCTCAGGACCCTGCACAGGGCCTGGTCCCCCGTGACAGGATGGACGTCTGCGGTTGGGGCGTCCCAGGCAGTGCTAACTTCAGGCCACGTGTCAGGGTGAGGCCTTAGAAGAAGATGGGGCCCAGGGCACCCCAAAACTCTCGCTGCACTCAGACTCGGCCGAATGCAGGTGTGTGGCAGCCCCCGCTCACCTCATCGTACATGCGCGAGAAGACCAGCCCGCTGAATCTCCAGAACTCGGCCCAGAAGTCTGAGTAGGACTCGACCGACCAGTGGTACAGGTCGTTATAATTCTCTGAAAACAAAGGAAGACCAGGTTCGGCATGAGGTCCCCCGCCAACCACAGGCAGGGGCCAAGGGTCCGGAGCCACCACTTGTCCTCAAGAGGAACAAGAACAGCGATCCAAGCCAGGTATAGTGCTGCAAGCCTGCAATCCCAGCACTCTGGGAGGCTGAGGCAGGAGGATCACAAGTTGGAGCGCAGCCCTCAGTGACACAGTGAGACGTCATCTTGAAAGAAATAATAAAAGAGACCTGAAATGTAGCTCAGTAGGAAGGCTCTGGGTCCCTGGGTTCGAGTCTCACTACCACAAAGACAGGGATGGATGGACGGATGGATGGAAAGACGGATGGAAGGCTACGTAGATGGACAGATACATGGTAGACACGTAGGTCTTTCCGGGTCTTGCATAAGCAGCTGAGTGGTGCCTTCAATGCCCCCTGGTGCCAGCCCACCAGGGACTGCACACACTTCAGCCCAGCACTGCTGTCCGAGGAGCTGGGTGTGGTCCAGTCTTTTGAGACCAATTACACAGAATTTTAAACAGGACAAGGGCAACTGACATTCGCAAAGCGGCTTCAGCGGTGAGGGTGGACTGACAGGAAGCGCGAGGCTGTCCCAAAGCGCAGCCGCGGGCAGGCGCAGGCGGGACAAGCGACAGCCGGAAGGTGAGCGGCCCCGCACATGCCACAGCGGCCGCATCCGCACTGCTACGCCCCAGACGCCCCGCCCAGGTCCCAGGCCTGAGCGCAGGGTGCAGAGCGCAGAGGGGCTGGCGTTCCACCCTGCAGCGGTGTCCAGGGGCGTCCTCTATCACACTGGGCTCCATAGGGCGATCACCACCAGGCAGTGTGGGCCCTCGGCCCGGCAGGCTGTAGCAATGCCAGGAGCCCAGGCGTGGGAAGCAGAGGGGCCGGGAGAACCCCCTCCAACGCCAGACGCCACAGAGGGCACCGAAGCCCTGGGGCTCTGAGCCACAAGGAAGGGGTCTTGATCTCAGCAAAGATGCCCACACCTCCTCCAAGCCCAGACTGGGCACCAAGCACACGGGGCGTCCACCTGCGATGGCGCCTGTACCCAAGTGGGCGTGGCGGTCCACATCTGCAAGCCCAGCACTCTAGGAGCTGAGGCAGGAGGATCAGGACGAATTGCTGCAAATTCCAGGCCACCCCGGGCTACACGGTGAGACCTCGTCTCAAAACAACAGTAACAACAAAAAAACAGGGGTAGTGACCATGGGCCACACTGCCTCAGAGCACAGGCCCTGAGTTCAGCTCTCCGCGTTCCAACCCCGCTACTCTGAGCTACGTGGTGTAACACTTGAAAAGCTGGTTTTCCGTGGAATTCTGCAACTTAAGTTTCTCTGGAAGAAACCGGGCCCCTGGCTGTACCCCAGTAATGTCCAGGGTGACCTCAGACACGATTTCTCTCCCTGTGCCCGGTTCCTCCCCGTGTAAGAAGGGAGTGGGGTACGGATCCGAGGGTCAGCGTGAGGACTGACTGGGCCACAACGTCAGCCCTTGCTGCCTGCAGGACACTGAGAGCTCAGGCAGGCAGGGAAAGGGTTAACAGCAGGAGGGCACCCAGGGGAGCAGCGCCCTTGGGAGACTGGGGCCCTGCACCTGGAGGAAACAGCACTGGACCAGCAGGCCCGGTGGCTGGCGGAGAGTCGGATTCCTCCGCTCTGGTACTGGGGCTGAACCCAGAGCTTCACACGGAGCCACTCTGGGGCAGGAGAGACAGGGTGCGGTGGCTGATCGTTTGTCAATTTGAGTAGGAGAGCCACACCCCAGGGCGGCTGGTCCCTGGACAGAGCTGCTTCTGTTCTTCTGAGGAGCTCCAGGTCTTTGACCTCAGCTTGGACGTTGTCTCCTGGCTTCTGCTGGAGACTCTCGGCTTCTGGCGCACACCCGTCGGCCTCCTGATTTGGACTCGCATGGGACACTGCAGGGAGCGCCTGACCTTCGCCTGGGTCCTTCCAGCTCCAGTGTGCAGACGCCCTCCGTACGCCTCCTCACCCCTCTGTGCTGGCCACACTGAGGCCATCTGGTGAGTTCTCAGGTATTTGTACATTGTGGAGAAGGACATTCTTTTGTTAGAGAAAGCACTGAGGACACACAATGATTTGTTTACTATTTGTTAGGGTTTCTTTTTTTTTTTTTTTTTTTTTGTCTTTTTGAGACAGGGTCTCACTATGCAGTTCAGGCTGGCCTTGAGCTCACCTTTGTAGCGCTGGCTGGTCTCAAACTCACAATGATCCTCCTGCCTCAGCCTCCCGAGTGCTGGAATTACAGGCGTGCGCCACCATGCCTGGCTTATGTTAGGGTTTCTTAAAATAAGCCTTCACTATACAGCCCGAACTGGCTTTGAGTTTATGATCCTCCTGTCTCAGCCTCCCAAATGCTGGGATTACAGGCGTGTGTTGGATTACATGTGGAGAAGGATAACCCTTTCTGGGGCCAGGTGGTCACAGTGGCAAAATAACTAGCTGTATTATCCTCGCTAAAAAACGTCTGGTATCTGCCCATTTGTACTAGCTATGCCCTTGGTTCTTGCTCAATAAAAGGTGATGGAGATTGGTAATGGAGGTTGCAGTCCAAGAGGCTGTAAGCCCCCTGATCCCAGAATTTTGCCTCTCTTGTTTTTCTTGTTTCTCTTACTTTTCTTTTCATCCGCAGGTACCTCTTTCTTGGGACCTGTCACCCCTGGACAGAAACAGAATCTACATCCAACAGTACATCTTGTTATATCTGCTTCTCTAGTAAACACTGACTGACACGCAGGGTCTCGCTCAGTCTCTGGCCCAGGCTACCCTCAAACTCTAGCTCCTCCCACCCTGGCTTCCCAGAACACTGGGATTACAGACACACATGTAGTTTCTAGTGTTTTGCTTTGTTTTTTTGATCATCTCAGTCCTTAAAAATAGCAGGTCCAGGCTGCAAAGCACCTCTACCCCAAAACCACTTGATATAAAAGATGGGCCGGGGCGGGAGGTGCAGCTCAGGGGTAGAGCACTTGCCTGGCACGCACAAGGCCCCGGGTTCAATCCCCAGTACTGAAAAAAATAAATAAAAGATGGGCCAAGCCAGGCATGGAGACACCTGCCTATAATCCCAGCATTCATGAGGCTGAGGCAGGAAAATTGTCACAAGCTCGAGGCCAACCTGGGCTACATAGTGAGTGCAGGGCCAGCCTGGCCTCAAAACAAACCAAAGGGGTTATCGGGAGAGGCAGGCCAGAGCCCCCAGTGAAGACCTCTGAGGCCTACCACAAAAGTCCACCCACAAACAGCATCCCTGGCCAAGGGAGACATGACCAGCCTGGAGAATCTGGGGCCAGGTGGTCACAGTGGCACCTTACCACCTCGAGGGCCGTGGGAGATGACAGCGAAACGGGCAACCTCATGCGGAGCTAAGCCACTGCCACCCGAGCGACCCTGGCCAGGGCTTCTCCACCCCATCCGGCCCTCAAATGCCTATGGCCCAAGCACCCTGCCGGGTTCCAGGGGAATCTGTGGTGAACACCAGATAACTGACACAGTGCCACCCCCACGGTGCCAGCCCCCACCCGTCGTCACCCGAATGCAAGAGGCGACAGACAGGGCAGCCACGCCTGGGGCGGGCACAGCTCCCCCACCTGTGGCTGCCGAGTGGTCATTGCGACTTTGTGCCTCGGCTGTCCCAGCTGTGCCATGAGCACAAAGTCCACCGCCTGGGGGGCGGACGGCAGGCGGTGGGCAATAAGAAGCGCCAGGAGCCGGAAGGGGCCTGCGCGGGGAAGGTGCGGTGGGCATCAGCTCCCACACCTCTCCCACCCCTGCCTGGCCCTGGCGCGGCCGGCTCTGCTCCCCGTTCTCTCTCCACCCCTGGGAATACCAGCCGCTCAGGCCTCGGTCTCAGCGGCCTTGCAGCTGCATTCCCTCCTGCACCACGCACAGCGAGGCCACGCTGCAGCTCTGAGCAACGCAGCACAGCCCCCGCGCCTTCCGCTTGCCGACAAACTAGCGCCCGAGCAGGGAGGTCACTTCCAGCTCAGCACAGCCTCCAAGCTTGAGCAGCGAGACCTGCAGCCTGTCCCTGAGGACAAGAGACCAGCTGAGCCCACCTGGCTTCGAAGGAGTTCCCAGCAGTTCTGCCGGAAGCAGGGCCAGGGACAAGGGGACCCGTAACCCTGGCAGCAGAAAGGGAACATATACCTCCTGCACCAGCCGGACCTCCTGAACCTCAGAACAGAGCTGCCCGCCCACCTCAGCCTGCCAGACGGACTCAGGAGGGGAACCTCCCTCTCGGGGTCCCCCAGCACCCTCCAGGCCCGGAGCCCAAACGACAGAGGAGCATATATTCAAAGCAAAGCGGCTTCTCAGTGAAGCCTTAACCCAAAGCCCAAAAGCTGCGGGACAGGCAGGTGAAGGGGGGAAGAGGCTGGGACCAAATCTTGCCCAGCGTAAGAGGCAGAAGGGCAAACCCAGCTCCAGCCCCGGCCCAGAGCACAGGGAGCACCCGGGCTGAGTGGGGGGCACAGCTGGCATCCAAGGCCCGGGCTTTAGAGGTGGAAGCGCTGTCCATGCGCAGGGCACCCGCAGGCCAAACCTGTTCTGCGGCCTCAGACCGGGAGCATCCGGCGGGCGGAGACAGGGCGCCACCAGGCCTGGGTGACAGGCAGCCCACCCACGGCACCCTCACACCCTCCAGCTCCCAGAGAGGAAACAGGCTCGGGCAGGTTCCACGGTCCCCCGCCCCAATCCAACGCACAGCCCGCAGAGGTGGGGCAGCCCAGCCCCCCGCTCCTCGCCAGCAACGGTGGCTTCGGGCTTGGAGAAACGGCTCATCAACTGGCAGGACACACAACTGCCGGAGATCAGCATTACCCTGTGGCTGGCAGAGGGAAGAGACCGGCCGGAGGGGCAGAGAAAAAGGAGGAAGTCCCCCACACAGCGTCCTGCCCTTCCCGGGGGCGCGCGGCCCTCCCCAAGGCCGCACACCCAAGGGAGCAGGCACCTGTCTCAGGCGACGGGGGGAGCGGCAGTGCAGGTGTGGCCGGGGCGGCCTGCGGCTTCCCCACCATCCCGGCGCGGAGAGCGGGGCGGCGCGGGGCGGGCGGGGTTAGGGGTAGAAGGGGCGGACGGGCACCCGCGGGTTCCGCG